CTGGTGTGACTGGGTCGCTGGAGCTCAACATCGCCAAAGACGGTGGAGAGAATCTTTAGGTCTCTCTTCAATTGGCAAAACACAAGCTGTCCAGGAGGGCTTTTAGCATGCCTACGCTTTACATTAGGAGGCCACAGACACACTACTCAGCTAACAGGGAGGGTTCATTCATTGAGATGAAAGTAAGATGATGCTGAACTATGTGTAAAAATGCACCTTAAGAAAAGGTGGCAAAAATCAAACATTTTTGGAGAGAGCAGGCTTCTGTACAGGAACTGAACTCAACACTGTCAGAGTTTTATTCTCCACAAGATGGGCTTTGCTGCAGCTTTATCTGAGACAGGTCCCTGTCCCATTGTGACTATATATTTCCATACTTCATATCCGAGACTACTGGATTTAAGTTTTCATTCAAAAACAAACTGAATTGCCGAACATGATCCCAAAATATTAATAAAAATCCAATGGAATAGGAAGGAATTTCACTTATTCAATCACTTTAAGTAGTGGCTTCAGTGTCAGTCTTTATCTGGGGATTTTTTTTTCATTTCTACATTGTTTTTCAAGCTGTCAGCTTTTTTGGGTCTGTGTCAGCCTTTTTCAATCCAGTGGGTTGGCATGTACACAGCTCCAGGGAGACGTAAACCAGAATGTAAACTGACCATCAGCAAATCTCATCAAAGCTGTGGCTGCCAACCCCACAGAGTAATCTCAACTACAGAGAGGTTTTACACTCTGATCAGACGAGATGATAAACAGCATCTTTCAGTTTATTTGCTCGGTTTAAGATCGTGAAGATTGAAATGGAGACTTTATCAGAGGAGAATCCCTCGCTTACCAGCTATGACTTGTGTTCAAAGGAAAGAGAGTATCAGAGTGTCACACAAGGTAAAGTTGAATAGAATGGGCCCACATTGTCTGCAGTTTAGACAAATGTGAAGTGATCCCATTGAATTTTTTTAAAGCTCTTTAGTGCTAAGCAGGGTAGAGGCTGTGTGATTGTTGCTCTTGGCTAGAGAGCCTAGAACTATCTCAAGGTGTCAGCCATTTGGGATTACAAAAAAAAACGTTTTCACTCGAAGGAATCTTCCAAATTCAACGTAAGACTAAAAACACAGCTCTAAATAAAGAGGTCCATGCCAATGCCACTGCTCAAAACCATCAAATAAGTCAAATTCCTTCTTATTCCATTGGACTGTTATTAACATTTTGAGAAGGAATTCAGCAACTCAGTTTGTTTTTTAATGAAAACTTTAAACTCAGTAGTCTCAGGTATGACATCTGGAAATATATAGTTGCAATGGGAAGGCGGTGAGAAATGGACATGTCTCAGAGAAAGTTCTAGCAAAGACAAAAAGCCCACCTTGTGCATGGTGAGAATAAAACTCTGAGGGTGTTGAATTCCTTTTCTTTAATCTGTGCATGGGTTGTGGACACTGCTGTGCAGGAAAGCATTTATTGACTGTCCCGAGCTGCCCTGGAGAAAGTGGTGGTGAGCTGCCTCCTTGCATACTACAGTCCTTGGGGTGTCTGACGAAGAGTCATCTAGACTCGAAACATTAGCTTGCTCTCCCTCCATGGATGCTGCCTGACCTGCTGTGATTTCCAGCATTAGTTTTCAGACTAAGAATCAAGCCCTGAATTATAAACAGGAAGTTTGGTACCCTGGATTAGGCTGAGTACAAATAAGTTGCTGCTGGGAAAGCTCAGAAGGTCTGGCAGCATCTGTGAAGGAAAAAACAGAGTTAACGTTTCGGGTCCGGTGACCCTTCCTCAGAACTGGAAGGGTCACCAGACCCGAAACACTAACTCTGTTTTTCCCTTCACAGATGTTGCTAGACCTGCTGAGCTTTTCCAGCAACTTTTGTTTTAGTTCCTGTTCTTTCGCAGTTCTTTTGGTTTTTACAAAAAAATTGCTGTGTCATCAACAAGCTCACTACTGGTCCTGACATTGATGTAAACTCTGTGATTTATATATTTGAATATCATTTATTGTATGTTTGGGATTCTGATTTTTCAGTTAGTAACCACCAGGTTTTCTGTGTGCCTGAAGTTAATAATTATCTTGTAAGTATTTCTGAAACCATTGCGCTTTCTTTAGAATTAATGGGTTTTTTTTGTGTACGTTAGTTGGGTATTACCACTGAACAAGCTCCAGTTTAGAAAGTCAGGAGAGTTTTTTTTAAGCTTAAGGAAAACACCCATAACTTAGAGAAAAAGGGATTTTTTTTAAGTTTAACTTTGAGTTTTAGGGCCTATCTGTGATGTCATTGAAGTAGGATGGTCGTGTAAACCAGTGCTCTTGAGAAGGGAAGGATATATAGTGGACTGGCTTAACTTAGAATGAAGAGGCTTTGTTAGTTCCAGACCAGAAGTGTTAGGATAAAACTGTAAAGAGTGTTACTTAAAGCAAAGTGCAGAAAAGCTCAAGTGCGCAATAGCCGCAAGAAGAAGGTATTTGTGGTTCCAATCTAAAGGGTGAAGTCAGAAGTGAGTTAAATCTGTTGTATTGTTAGGTACAGACACTGTGGTATGAGTATTATAGTGAGTGGTGTTTTGGGTCCTGTACCAGGGATATGTTTTCAGTAATATACAAATGCTGGTTGGTGTCTTCTCAATATATGAAGGAGGATTTTGGGAAATTTTGATATTATACATTTAAAGTCTGTTTAAAAACCTTCAAGTCAGTATTATAAGGAGATGGTTTGGGTTTATTCTACTTTATCTTCATTCCTTTTGTTAATAAGAAGCTTCTGGTGTTTTTCTTTTGTTATCTGCAGCATCGTGTGCTTATATTATAGTGAGAGACAAATCAATATGTGATCTATCAAGCCAGGTTCCTATCCGGGATCTGACTTGCCCGGTAAGTACATCAGCTGGGATCACAATAACATTTTCCATCTGTGGATGATGCTGGTGTTTTTTTATTGCAATATCTGGGCGTTCTAACTGGGCAAACTTCCATCATTAGGCACAGGTGCTTTAAGAATGATACAGTCGCAACTTTCCACCAAGCAGTTACAGAGTATGCAGGAACTACACTCGCATGTCAAACTTCGGAATGTGTTTGGAATACGCGTCACAGAGAACGCCTCGATTTGTTCCGTGAAATGTGCAGCTCGTGTAACACAATACCTCAGTATTCATAGCAGACATTGCACAAATTATCAGTGGCTGAAATTCATATCTGCAGCCCTGCCCCTAGAGCTCCCTTTGATTCTCGACTTATTTAGCGGCATTAGTTGGAACACCTGTACTCATGTAGATACAATCACTGTTGTGGAATCTAACCGAGTGAAACACAATCCACACTAGGTTTACTCAAGGAAGGACTGGAATCCGAACCGCTCAATCTTTCTCCATTACGATATGAGCTTTAAATGAGTAATCTCTCTTCCAAAAGTCATTTTAACTTAACCAAAGGTTTGAGCAGAATTGTTTTGACAAAGCCGCGGGTGTAATTTTATACTGCTCCACCAGCAGATCTGAAGATGGGATGGATTTGTAAAATAGTGTTTGTGTCCTGCCAGCTGCCTCCAACATATCTCCCATTCTGCAAGGGTGGGTATGCGGCGGGGGGTGGGCGGGGGGGAGCTGGCGGCTTCAGGCTCTCCCTCAGACTTTTAAGGGGCCAGTTAACTAAAGTACCTCCTTATTCTGACTGCTGTTTTACCCACAGCAAGTGGGTAGCCTACCAGTTTCAACTGTGCGGACTGGGTGTTGGGCAAGGGAACAGAGATCACAAGTACATCCTTCAGGGGTCTCTTTCACCCAGTAGAGGCAACACCCGCCAAAGCTACAGAGTGATGTGCCCATTAGCACACCACCCCCACCCCTCTGGTACTTCTCAAACCCTGGCTCCGCACAGACTCCTTCCTGGGGTCGTTCAGCCAGGTCCCACTGATACCCCAGACCTCCCAAACGTCCGGCCTCCATTAGCTCCTCAGTGGGATGGGGGAGTGGTGGTGGTTGTCAGTTAGCTCAGTTGACTGGACGGCCGCTTTGCGAAATAGAGTGACGCCAACAGTGTGTGTTCAATTTCTCAACCTCACCCTCGGGTTAAAACGCCACCAAGTCATATCTCCCTCTCTCTCTAATGAGGCAGCGAGCCTGTGGTGCCCTGGGACAATGGTGTCTTTGCCTCACTTTAACCCCTATCTCCCTGCGCCCCCTCAGGGGGCAGGCTACTTAGCCAACTAACCCCCACGCCCCACCCAACATTAAATGGCTGTGGGGCAGCCAACGTCAACAGGAGTTGTGTTCCCTGTCAACATGACGGGGCGTCATAGAAATGTGTTTCACAGAACAACAGAATCTACTCTCTTCCAATTTACTTGAAACGATGCAAAGAGGGATTTTCATGGGCAGTAAGGGGGGCTGAGTTTACAGAAAATGTCATGTGCCATTCATCGCTAGGGGAGAGGGACAGGAAAGTGGAAGCTGTGATGTATCATCTGAAATCCTTAAAGAATGCCAAATCCTTATCAGCTGACAGAGATTACATTTGCAAGAATGGGCTATTCAATTCAGAATGTCATTTGGGTTGAGAAGGGAGCAAAACCTGAAGCTTTTCCACTGCTGCTGTGAAACAAGAGCTTTGGTGTGTGAGAAAGGTTAGCAATACCCTTCACACTAATGCAAAGTGATACTGCTGTCGCTCTCAAAGGTATACTTCAGAAATGTGTGTATACTGGAATAGTTTACTGTTACTGCAAAAGGTGGCTCAGTGCCAACAACAACAGAAGTAAATTCCGTCCTCCAGACTTTCAAACCAACTCTAAGGTATCTATCCATAACAATATTTCAGATATTATTAAGTGCTGTGAAACTATATATTAGAATCTGAGCTAGGTGTTAACATGTGGAACCCAGGTCCAAGAAAGAAATTCCTTCCAAATGTTCCCTTTTTGCATTTACCCATTCCATATCCCAAGAATTATAACACAAAGAAGATAAGGTTACATTGTTTGAATGGAGCTCAGGGATTTTTCTTGCCATACCTGAAGGCTCAGGGGAGCGGCACTCCCCGGTCATTGGGTCAAATTCCTGGACATCATCCGGACAGATGCAAAGGAATGAGCCATCGACGTTCTCACAGACAGCTTCACCACAAACCCCGCTGATCGCTTCACATTCGTTTACATCTGGAAGTGAGAACAGGGGCAACATTACATGAGTGAAGGAACAGCCCACACGCAGTGCCTTCTCCATACTTCTCCAGCGGATGTTTCCACCGCCACACATGGCCGAGTAACTCAAGTTTGTACTGATTCAGGGTGAAATTTGGGCTGCGGAGTCTGGCCCTTTCTGAGAACATCGCAACTTACACTCCAGATCCAGCCCAAAATGAGGAAGTGGGGAGGAAGTTTGCAAACTAACCTGTTCAAAACAAGTTCCTGGTTCTTTCTGTAAGAGTAGTATTTCCCAGATGGGATGAGCGTTTGGATTCAAAGTTAAGATTACAAAGAGTAGTTGCTGAGTAGGTAAAAATCTCCATGAGAGAGTCAGAAGGCCTTGGATGGACAAGTCTTCATTTTTCCAGGCACCAAAATCACGATGGCTCAGTGGTTAGCACTGCTGCCTCACAGCACCAGGGACCCAAGTTCGATTCCACTCTTGAGCAACTGTCTGTGTGGAGTTTGCACATTCTCCCCGTGTCTGCGTGGGTTTCCTCCAGGTGCTCTGGCTTCCTCCCACAGGCTGAAGATGTACAGGCTAGGTCGGATTGGTCATGCTAAATTGGCCATAGGATCCAGGGATGTTCAGGCTAGGTGGATTAGCTGTGGGAAATGTAGTGTTACAGGAAGGTAAGGAGGGCTGGGTCTGGGTGGGCTGCTCTTTGGAGGTAGTGTGTGAACATGATGGGCCGAATGGCCTGCTCCCACACTGTAGTGATTCTATGAATGAACTAAATACTGATCCAACATGTGTCTCTTTAGGTTAAACACATACTAGCACCAAAATTTGGTCCTAGTATATTCTTATCTGGGATGAAATAAATAGTACCATCTGCATCAAGGTCACACCTCCATAAACTGCACGTCATTGAAATGCTTTGCAGTAAATATGGACTTCAATCTAATCACAAAATGGACTGGTGGGTTTTACATACCTTTTGCCAGGTGTGCTATGGGGGGAGAGTCACATAAAATTGGGCTCAACATCTTCCCACCCATCCTTGAGCTCATGGCTATAATGGATGGGCAAGTTAATGTTAGGGTTCAAGTTTAGCAGCTCAATCATCATTGGTACATTAAATTCTGTCTGAGGCTTGTCACAAAGAACTTGGGGGCATCGGGCAATGGATCATGTTGTGACCCTGTCAGTACCCAGCACCCCCGCATTGAAACAAACAGCTGACGAAATTCCAAGTGGATCTTACTTGGATTGCATTCTTTAATCACTTGCATTCCGAACCTTATCCTCAACTATTTTCACCGCAAGCTAGGGATAGTCCTTAGCATAGCTTTCAGGTCCAGCATTACAACTATCTGATTAACTTGATCCGACATAAGAATAATTTGCTACTTTACACGTTGCTTATTGAGCAGAACTTTCTACAGTGAAGAATATAAAATATTTTAAAATTAAAGACACGGGTGATGCCAAACTGAAGCAAAAGTCAATCCTGACACAAAAGAATTACACCCAATTGTTTGTGTTCCATGTTTTCGAAGCCAACTCAAAGATAGATTTAAAACTACCCAATCAATGAGTTCTAAGTGGAGGTATGTGGGTTCATCCACTTTGGATTCACGGTGACTCAGTGGTTAGCACTGCTGCCTCACAGCACCAGGGACCTGGGTTCAATTCCACCCTCGGGTAACTGTCAGTGTGGAGTTTGCACATTCTCCCCGTGTCTGCGTGGGTTTCCTCCGGGTGCTCCGGTTTCCTTCCACAGTCCAAAGATGTGCAGGTTAGGTGGATTGGCCAAGGGAAATTGCCCATAGAGTTCAGGGATGTGTAGATTGAGTGGGTTATAGGGGGATGGGACTGGGTGGAATGCTCCAAGGGTCGGTGCGGACTTGTTGGGCCGAAGGGCCTGTTTCCACACTGTAGGGATTAAGTGATCTATGATCTACGAAATGATCCAAAATGCCAAACCAGAATATTTACAGGGATTTGTTTGGCTATGTTCTGTTGGGAGTGGCAGTCGGGGACTATGGGGAACAGACAGGACAGTGGGATTGAGACCACAATCAGAACTACCATTATCTTACTGAATGGCCCAGCAGGATTGAAGGGCTGAAAGGCTGACTCCTGCTCCTAAGTTTGACATCCCTTTGTTCCTAACTTGGTGCACAGGTGAACAAAAAGCAAATTGGTGGATGTGTTGCTGTTTATCTCAGTGGGGTTGCAATCTCAAGGTGAGGAAGTCTTGCCACACTTGGCCAAATTCTTAGTCAGGCCCAAACTGGAGAGAGAAAAAGAAAGAACTGCAGACGCTAGAAATCTGAAACAAAAGCAGAAATAGTCGGAGAAACTCAGCAGATCTGGCAGCATCTGTGGAGAGAAAGCAGGGTCAATGTCTCGGGTCTAGCGACCTTGTGTACTGAACCTCAGGAAAGGTACACTCGCCTTGGAAGAGGCAGCAAGGATTCACCGGGTGTAGCAGTTACATGATGACGCAAGGTCACATCAAATTTAGAAGTTTGCTGGGCAGGACCTAATCAATATATTTAAAATGGTTAAGGGATTTCAGAAGGAAATGTGTAGCAAAACTATTCCCTTTGATGGAGAATTCCAGATGAGGGGACAAGTTCAATATGCGAGTTTGACTGAAAAGTGGGATATGGTTTTCCACACAAACAGCCTCAGAATTTTCTCCATTGGGATGCTGCAGATGCTGGGCCAATGACAATTTCCAAAACTGACGTCAACAGAATTTTGTAAAAGGAGGGCTTTGAAAGATAAGAAACAAGGGCAGGTGCACTAACTTCAGGTATTTCTTTGTAATGATCCAATGCAGAGATGGAACACACTAGATGGCTTGAATAGCCTGCCATATTCACACCTGAGGATGATGTGGATGCTAAATAGGACCCACTTAGGATAAGGGAAGATCCACTATGTCCCTACGAGGCTGTGCATTAGTTCAGCCCACTGGTACAACAATTTGCTCACCTTTAGCAACATGATCAAAGGGATAGTAAGAACTGCCGATGCTGGAGTCTGAGACAACACAGTGTGGAGCTGGAGGAACACAGCAGGCCAGGCGTTTCGGATCGGGACCCTTCTTCAGAAATTTCCTCCAGCTCCACACTTTGTTATCCATGATCAAAGTGGTGTTGTCTTTGTACACTCTTGTGGGATTTTTTTTTAAAATTTCACACACCCACAATTTCCCACGCGTGAATGAAAACATAGCCGGACCATCTGAGGGGGTTCACCAGGTTGGGAGAGGTGGCAACTTCATAAGAGGGAAGGGAAGACAGGAAAAATAACCCCTTGCTGGCAGCATACTCCAACACCCAGGAAATGGTTGCTTCCTGTCCCGTCATTCAGGTTATGTTGCACTGTGTGGTGGGTGGGAAAATACAAAAAACGTTTATTGCCCAAATGGGAATGAAGGTACTATTGCCAGAAACTGCTGAGCCCAAAAAGTTGCACTGCTGTTTATTCCATTTAAATCCATTCCAGCGTCTATTTTCTTTAAAGATTAATATTGCTCAAGAGGCCATATATTTGTAAAACCAGCAACTATCAGCAGGAGTTTGCAAGGATTTAGAATTATCGGTTTAAGCTCCACTATCCTGAGTTTACTAACTGAGCAATAAATAAGCTGTACTGAGCACTTTGCTGAAGGTTGAGAATCCTCAGCAGTCAATCTTGCATGGTTTCTGATGTGTGTATGTTACATATCACACAGAGACCGATAGAGTTTGGTTCCACTTTAGGTAGTCTACCTAGCTGAAGTTGGGGGAGGGGATAGAGTTTAGCCCAGAAGACCTGCAGAAAGCTAAGTTAAAACAGAAGTAACCCATGAACTAATAGGGTCATCAGATGTCAGAGCAGAAGTAGACCATTCAGCCCATCAGATCTGCTCCACCACTCAATGACATCATGGCTCATCTGATAATCCTCAACTCTCACCTTCCTGTGTTTTCCCATAATCCTTGATTCTCTTACTGATTAAAAATCTGTCTATACCAGCTAAAAGGTATTTAATGACCCAGCCTCTACGGTCCTCTGTGGTAAAGAATTCCACAGATTCCACTACCCGCTGAGAGAAGAAATTCCTCCTCATCTTAGTTTTAAATGGACAATTCTGAGATTATTCCTTCTGGTCCTCAACTCTCCCACAAGGGGAGAAACCTCTCCACATCCACCCCATCAAGCGCCTTAAGAACGTCATATATTTCAATTGCTTTCAATAAGTTTAATTTGTTACAATGCTATCAATAAAGGAACAAAGATTCAGTACTTAAAGGATGGAAACAGCAGTTACTACGATACTAATACTAAGCATGCACCTAATGAAACATTAATACCAATAATTTCAATTTAAGCAATAAAATAGTTAAAACACATTATTGCAACCGACATAAATCTTTGCTGCACTCAGCTCTACTTTTCATGTAGAAACACCTCTTTCACATTATGGGGAACATTTCTGCATTGCTCTCATTTGCCTAAATAAATGCCTTTCTCCACCCAGAAATGGAGATGTTTTATGCAGAGATTTACAACAAGTAGAGCAGCTGTGTAAAATGTCTCTCCTCTCTGTGGGCATCTTCAGTCGGTTTGCAGGCTTCCAGCAGGTGACTCTGTCTAGTTTTTTTGTCCTTTCCAGCCAAATTCCTTGCCTCAGATCAGCGTGTTCATGGGCGAAGAGGTCCTCTCTCAGTGCCCGCTGTGCCAGGCTGGGCACAAAGTACAAGCTACTACAGTGGAACCTCCATGCTTTAAATGTGTTTGATGACGTGTGTACCAATCCATCATCCTGACTAAGGGAACGAGGTGTTGCAGTTTGTGTACTGACACACAGACTGGGAAATGATGGACAGCCTGTTACACTATGTTTCAGAATGAAATTGGAGCACTGGGATTTCTCACTTGAGATATACAGAGCCTGACAGAATGAAGAACACTGGCCAGTGAAAGCAATTTTCAAAGAAAAAAACTAGTCTGCAAAACAGGCCAAATGTCTACAGAGTTTTTTTTGCTTAAGGAGGTATTTTATCTAACTCCAAGCAGAGTGTGTGTATCGAGCACCAGACAGTATTTCCGGCAGCAGATACTCTGTGGTCAACTAGTACTCCGCTCCAGATTCAAATTTTATCCTTACAGATTTACGTTTTCACTCCTCTTGTTTTTTTTACAAATAAACTCTGCTTTCACGTTTGATTAATCCTGCTTTATAGATGTCAGGAAATAAATTCCATTTGACGAACTATGGCTGCAGCTGCAGCAAAATACAAATTATTGCCGACTTTACGTTTAATAAGCAGGTTCTTTTTCTCTTCAAGTATTCAATTACTGTGGTTTTAAGATGGCTTATTAGATTGCAGCACTTCCAACAAGTGTTTCCAATCTCCCTCGCCAAGTCCAATATCTCTCCTCAAAATCTTCTCCTTTTCACATTTGTTCAGCTTCAAGCCTCCTGGAAACCAAGGATTGGATCTCAAACCTGGATGGCGGGAGGCAGGCTGGTTGGAAGAGGGAGCTACAAATGGCTCTCTATCAGACAGGGCAATCTGTCACATTAATGCTTATCTAATGCTCCCTATTGAGACGAGGATGGGATCAGTCTCTGTAGTGATACCTTTCACAATCAGGAATCGGGGAGGTGATGGCCTAGTGGTATTATTGCTGGACTGTTAATCCAGAGACCTAGATAATGTTCTGGGGACCTGGGTTCGAATCTCACCATGGCAGATGATGGAATTTGATTCAATGAATATCTGGAATTAAGAATCTAATGATGACTATGAATCTACTGTCAATTGTCGGAAAAACCCATCTGGTTCACCACTGTCCTTTACGGAAGGAAACTGCCATCCTTACCTACATGTGACTCCAGACCCACAGCAATGTGGTTGACTCTGGGCAATTAGGGATGGGCAATAAATATTGCTTAGCCAGCGATGCCCTCATCCCATTAATGAATTAAAAAAATCTGATAAGGCCTAATCAGTGGGATGACTGAGGGGAGGCAGTGGCCTCGTGATATTATCAGTGGACTGTTAATCCTGAGATCCAGGTTCAAATCCCACCATGGTACATGATGGAATATGAATTCAATATAGATCTGGGATGAAGAGTCCAATGACGACTATGAATCTGTTGCCAACTGTTCGAAAAACCCATCTGGTTCACTAGTGTCCTTTAGGAAAGGAAATCTGCAATCCCGAACTGGTCTGGCTTCCGTATGACTCCAGAACCGCAGACGAGGGCAATAAGTGTTGGCCACCCAGTGACTCCCACAGGCCGTGAACAAACTACGAGTATCTGTCTCTTCGGCCTCCCTGGAAACAGCTTCCAAAAAAAAGGATGACCCCAGTGAAGTGGGTCACAGTCAACAGAAGTTCCATTGCAGAAAAACTCTGGCTGGATATTCCGCGCCCACCGCCCACCACCACCACACCACTCCCCCCACTCCCCGCACCCCCCCCACCCCCCGCCAGCTGACATAAAGCAAATAGATAAGAAGGGAAGCTAATTCAACACATGAGTGGGAATCGAATAGAAGTTAATTGAATGGTTCTTGTAGGAAATAAGTTGAGAGGAGATTTGTGTGTAATACAATTTCTGGTAGGACCTTATGGCCTATTTACTGTAAGTTGAAGGTGAAAGCAGAGTACCATGGATTATAAACGGAGTTATTTGCTAGTTGCAGCTTAGTATTAAACTCATAAGAATGGATCCAGTGTTCTCACTACAAACTGTGATAGACCCTGTTGCAGTTGTGATTTGTCTGGAATGCAAAATGCTTTACTTCCCTTAATGTTTTAAGTTATTTAGTATTTACATTGGTGATAAATTAATTTCAGCCATTCGGGTTTGCAGTGTTGGCTGCAGCAAAGTATGAAAAGTGTACAGCATTACATGGACCACGCTCTCTCCCATCTCACCGGAGCCCTGTGGATAGAAATGACCGAGAAAAATGCAAGCCTAGTACCTTCTCTCAGACTGTGATGCTGTTCTCTGCGCTCCAGTCCTGTGACCACACTTAACCAGACACTATCCATCCACAGGGCCTCACTGTTATTCCTGGAATGTGCTTCACTCCTGCTTCAGGTTGTCTGAACAAGGGGCTGTGGTTCAGCCTTTGAAGCATTACTTGGCAACGAACAGAAACTCACCCACACACCCTTGCCCCTCCAGTAGATCCTGGAAGCCCCGGTCACAGAGACAGCGGAAGGACCCAGCTGTGTTTTCACAGAATCCATGGCTGCCGCACACTGTGCTGTTTGCACATTCGTCAACATCTGCAAACAAGATGTTACAACACTCAGGCTGGCTCCAGAAAATATATTTTAAAAAAATTATACACCTTACTGTGAATGACAGGATCTACTCAAGGTAAACTGTTCAGAGAGAGTCAAATTCTGCAATCAGCTGTTCGGACTGATTGTCATGTGAAGGGTTCAGAATAAAAACCAGACCTGAAATTAAATTTGTAAGGTTAAAATAATTATAGATATTTCTAACTAACGTTGAATGCGATGGACTGTGGTTTCTGCAAATATTATTATACAGTGCAATAGTGTACCTGATCAACTAACAAATCTGCTCTGTTTGAATAGGGTAGACAATGGGAGCTATGGGGCCACAGAGGAAAATGAAATGGCTCAGGGAGAAATTGATTGATATTTAATGAATAACTTAACACATTTGTAAATGTAATTTTATCTATTTCCTTTTATGCATAAAGTGCCTCTGGGAGGGATCGGGGTTTATGAAATGATGAGATAATAAAAGCTCCATCAACATAAAATGCGGAAAAATCTCTAAGGGGCACAGCAGAAATATTTTGTCAAGTGGTTAGGAGGTATAAGTAAGCCCCTTTTTTAGTAAGCCCAAGATTTTCTCTTTCTGAGGTGCCACATGGCAATGAGGAACAAAGTCTTGTAAGGTATAGCCGTGCATACAGACGTACTGCTCTCTTCCACTGCACGCCATTCAACAATGTCCCAAAACATTCACGGAAAGAGCAGCCCATTGTCTATCCTTCCTGCTGCAGGGGTTGCTCTCACCAAAGTGTCTGGCCACATCTTTACTACGACTGCTGGTTAATAATCAAAGAAAGGAATGTGGAAAATTTAACATGAACGTGCCAAATGAGAGCTCCATCACACCAACTCAGAAACTTTTTGCTTGCTCTTAAAAAGCAATAAGCTCCTGTCAACAGTCTCTGCCATTCACTTGGGGATGACCACCATTTGTTAGCAAAACCAAACTCAACAAAACTCCAATTCAAGCTTGTTCTGGCCTGTGTGCTTGTTCCACTTTTCTACCATTGCTCTGTTTCAGTTAGTGTTATACTTCAGTGCATTGTCTGTCCCGAGGTACTGAATGCAATGCAGTCTGCAATTAAACTCTTTCACTAATAATGCTGTCAAAAAGGCTAATTGTAGAATGGTGAGGTTGTACAGCACATCAGAGTGAATGTACTGCTCCACATTTATGATACCACCCCCCCACACTCAGCTGTGCGACCACAAGGAAGCGCAAAGGTGAAGCTAAGCATCTTGACAAAAGAAGGGGGGCTGAGAGTAGTCAGAGTTCTTTCAGGTCAAGAAACTGCCTTTAGTCATAGGGCAGTTGTGTGTCTGAGCAGTCCCAGGAGAATGTTGCATCAAGAGAACAAAGGCAGAGGCATGAGAAACCATCAAAGTGGCTGACAAAGAAGATTGTCTGGAAAATATAACGGTGGGAGGGCATGCGATCTTAAACATAAAACGCACAAGGAGATCTGGCTCGTTTCAGCAGTGAAACAGTGTCACGTTGCAATGGCACTTTCACTGACATGAATTATAACTCTCAAGTGAGGCTTTCACACATCATCTTTCTTCTTTGCTGTGAAGTGGCTCCAGTGTCTCAGCAAGATTAGAAGTGGAGATGTAAACAGGGTCAAGGGTGGATCAAATGGATCTCCAGATGCTGCCCAAGACACATCTGCTGGCTCCTGACCCCTGACCTGCAGGTCATGAGGCCACAGAGTCTGCTTGGGCGCAATGAGAGAATTCATAAGTGTGAACCGCAATGGGACAGCAAGAGGGTGCCCCGGGAGCAGAGGGAGCTCGGCAGTGTAAACACTTTATCCTGCAGCACAAGGCTGAACAACAGCAGGATTGTGGGGGGATAAGGAAAAAAACAGATGAATGATCACTCGGTGTCAGCTGAGGGGCATGTTTGGCGATGACACCCGTGGCCTTAAGCACAAATTCTAAGCTGATGCTTCTTTGCAGTTCCAAGGGGATTTCTGCAGCCCTGTTATAAATGCTGTTCTTCAGGTGAGATGTTAAACTTAGGCCTTTGTCTGCCTTCTCAGGTGGAGATAAGAGATCTGTCTATTCATCTGTGGGGTATGGGTGTCCCTGGCTAGGCCAGAATATATTAGCCATCCCCTGGTTGGCCTTGAGAAGGTGGCAGGCTGTGCCCGATAGAAGGTGGTGGTGAGCTGTGCCCTTGAGAAGATGGTAAGCTGTGCCCTTGAGAAGATGGTGTGGGCTGTGCCCTTGAGAAGATGGTGGTGAGCTGTGCCCTAGTGAAAGTGGTGGTGAGCTGTGCCCTTGAGAAGGTGATGGTGAGCTGTGCCCTTGAGAAGCTGGTGGTGGGCTGTGCCCTTGAGAAGCTGGT